CCAAAACCCCAAAACCCCAAAACCCCAAAACCCCAAAACCCCAAAACCCCAGCAAGATATAATTTAAACAATCAGAGATATGAAAATATAAAATGAAATGATGAAACGCGTTAGATTAAATGATAATACTGCATAAACAACATATAAAAGGCTTCTGTGTTTTTAATTCTTAGTTAATGCTTAAATATATTTAGAGAATATGACTTTCTTGTTAATCAGCTTGGCTAAAGAATATTATAAATATGAGTGTATAAGTTACAGTTGACCAGATGAGGAAGCCCTTTTGACCGATATAGAAATAGATGTATCTGCCGACCTCATGAGTTACATAAGCTCCAAAGTTTCTTCCTATTAACATGATTAATATCCATTGATTGCTTTGGCTTATGATATAATAACTGCAATTGAATTATCTTGGTTAACTTACCTACGATACAGTGCCATACTGATTTGTATTTCTTTTCAAAAGTTGATTTCATGTATGAGGCAACTAACTATATTAATGTATGAGACAGTCAATCAATGATTGTGAGATGCTAACCTTCTCAGAGTTTGATGTATCGAGAGCTTTTTGTGCTTCTGAGATAGCGAAATCCCTCATCTCATCCTCCATTAGAGTTAACTTGATAACTGGTTTACCGAGACTCATATTTATTCTATTTGGCTCTTAAATTTAATTATATTTAAATTTATTTAACTTTTTATAAAGTAATCAATTACTAAGTTTATTAAGAATATTAATCCCATTGGTAGCTCTAAAGGTTTCAAATAAAAAGAACTTCTTCAAATAATAATGAAATCACTTTGAGGTCTTATACTTGGTGTTTATGCCCCTGAATTCTTTATTTTAATAGTGTTCTTCAACTTGTTTTTAGTACTAGCTGATTTGATTCTCACATCTTTTCTTTCCTTTATAGATTCCAAAGTTGTCGATGGTCTCTTTGTGTTCATAACACTGCATGTTGTAGTAGTAGGATTAGTCATCATTTCGGTTGTTTAAATTGATAATCCCCTTTTAAATCTAATACTTTAGACCATCTATGTATTTTTCTCTAATAGTTCTTTGAGGGCAAACATTGTATCTAAAGCTGATAGATTTACAGAGTTTAGAGATACAGGGGTTTAGTTAGCTGCTATCTCATCTTAAATTTATTGATTATATCTATGCTATCCCTTTGCTAACTTAAATGGTGCAATATAGACTTTCTACAAGTCTTAATTTTTGTTGATTGATAGGGATGATGGTCCTGAGTTGATTTAGGTTTGCTATTCTGAAGATTAATTTTAAATGAAATTTGATTTCCTTCTTTGGTGCTCTTTTTTAAGTTGACTTTGGTTTGTGTCAAATCTCTCATTTACAAATTAATCGTAATAATCAAAGAATTTTTTGCCATTATCATTAGCACCATCTACTATCTAGGAATCTAAAGTGGTGCTCTCTTTTTGTTGTTATTCAAATTTACTAACCTTTGGAGATTTAAGAAGTGAGTTTTATAAGAAGCTGCTTGGCCTATGATTCATTGAATGCCTTAATTTTTTATCATTTGAAGATGGATTAGTTATTTAATAAAAACCAGACTTCTTAGATATATTGGAGAAGGAGATGTTTATATTTTTTGGGATGTCAAACTTAATTGAAGTATCATTTTTGTTCTTTTTAAATGATTTTTTGCTAGGTTTCCGCGAATTAGCTTCAAATTCTTTTGATCTCAAGTCAAACGTATCATTAGGATAGTTTGATGTCATGTTATTGTTATTTGATTTTTCTCCTTCTATTGATTTGGGATCATTATCCAAAATATCGAATTTCAATTCTTGTTTGATATTTAGCCTATCTAACTGCAAATCAGAGAATTTGCTTTTGACTACTGACTTTCTTTTTGACTATCTTGCAATAGTTGATCTTCGCTTTAGGCTTGGTTTCTTTTTTTCATGCTCATTACCATCTGATAGAGGTTCAGTTTACTTCTTGATATGTATATCTATTGATTCGAAATTTTCATTTTTGCTATGACTATTCTCATCCAAACTTGATTGGGATTTCCTTCTAAAACTAGCATCTGAAGCGCTGGACTCCAGATTATGCTTCGAGACTTTTCTGTTTTTCAGATTCTCTATACTATTACCTTTGCTATTATAGTAAGGGCTGTTTTCAAGACTTTTATCCTTTCGACTAAATTTGAGATTAAGTACATATGTTGATTACCTATTTGCACCTAAATAGTTCGTATTATTTTCTGATTATTTTGAATGATTTTTGCTTCCTTAGAGATGCAGAAATTTAGCCTTTCTTCTTCTCTCTATTAAAACATATTTAGAATAATTTGATGAAACGATTGAAAAAATTGTTTGTAGCTCAAATAAATATTTACCTCTGTAAATGATAGGACCTTTGTGATCAAATCTGTATTTCATTTCATATTCTTTTTCAGAATTTCTATTTCCTTTTAGATTCACACTGTTGAATAATCGATATCTATGCCTCACTCTTTATCCCCATGTCATAAGACTGATGCTAAAAATTTTTTCAGTGAGTTAGAAAATATAAATAAACAATTAACTTACAATTTTTACATTCCATGATCAAGTTAAAGCCTCTTTAAGACCATATCCTTAATTGGTAGACCATTTATATCACCTAAAATGCTTTTACTAAGGAAACTCCAAGAGATTTTTTTCTCCACATGCTAGTTAAGTGAAGTAGAATTAGGATCAATGTAAGAGTCAAAATCAATAAAAGGGTAAGGAAAAGAAGGACCTTGGAGTTCATTAAATCTACCAACAAAGTCTTCATTCATACCCCCAAGTGTACTTTATTTCCCTAATTATTTGATTAGGATTTGTCTGTTTTCAAGATTGATATCATAAGGTTGTTTGCGACTATTTTCATTCTTGATATGGTGTTAATGATGGTGATTATTTTGTCTATTTAATGTTTATTCCATTGACTAACTGAATTTTACAAAATATATTAATCTAACTTACTTTAATTTCGTAAAATATATCAAATTAATTTGAAGGGGTTTTGGGGTTTTGGGGTTTTGGGG